TTCCGCCAAACGAAGTTGCCAGCTCCGCTTCGCTCCGCCGGCAACTCCGTTCGGCAGGGGCCGGGCCTGCTTGGCCTGCCGGCGGCGATGGTCGGGGCTGCGGCCCGACCATTTCTGTCACGCGATTTGCTGAAGAACATGATCGAATGATGTAGCGGGCCTTCCGCCCGCTTAAACCCGTCGTCTTTGAGTTTGCCCCGACGACTCGAGAAGGGATGTAACGGTGAAGCACCGCGACTACAACCCACCCTTCTGCTTAGAAAACGTTTGTTGGGGGTGGGGGGAGAGTTTCCTTTCCACTTTGCGGTTTTTAGGCATTTTTCTACAACTTTTTGTTCACTATTGCAATTTTGAGCTTATTTTCGTAAAAAAAAGACCCTCTAGCGCCTAAACGGTTAGAGATAGAGCGAAACGGACGAAATTTTCGTCCGAAGCGAAGGAATCTGCTCTGACGAGTTACACCTTGGGAGAACATACAAAAAAATACTTTCTGGGAGAATTTTTGAACCCTGGATACCGCCATTCACACCCTTAGGGGTGGTTGCCAGGATTTGCCGTAGGCGTTTTCGTTCTCTAGTAGTGGACCTTAAGATACCCTGAAAATTTCAAGTCCCTAGCACATCTCCTTCTAGTGGAACAGACAGACACACAGACACGAGGTCGTTTGCATAAGCCCGCTGGATAGCTTTTTCAAAGCAGAAGGGCGGGCTAAAAACGCAGAATGCAGGCGTGGGCGGAGTTGTTCAATGGTGAGAGAAGTGTTGCCATACATTTTATATATGGGGAGTTTGAATTCATCAATCAACAAGAAAAGGTAACTTTGTGAAGTTATGGCATAAATTATATTTTATATAATTGTTTTAGATTGTGACATGTTCATTGAATTATTTATAACGCAAATTTATGTGTTCATACATTTCATTCTAAAGTTTTAAAGATTTATGTAAAATGTTTCTGAACTTTGTATGAATTTCAAACTGTTCCGTGAAATCATCTTTTTTTCATAATTGTTGCTACAATTGAATTATTGAAATATAAAATGTATTTTGAAAACGGTTATCTGATTGAAAAATTCGGAACTAAATACCATTCGATCAATCAAACCTTCCCTTGTTAGACATCTAGCGATAGACAACGTTTAAACGTGCCGAGACGATCTCCAATCTAACTCAGCTATGACCCTAGACGTTCAAGCTTTAGGATTTTTAACGCAGCAGGTTATGAAATTTTTGATAACCTTGAGATAATTGGTATTTAAGTGCTCGCTTGTGAAAAACACCTGCAGACTTTAAACGTAATATCAACGGTAGGTCTCTTGGCTACTCAAAATCAGATGGAAAGGGTCCCGAGTCTGGTAAGACAAATGCTACCGGAATCCGGACTGACCTCACGTAGGAGGCAATTCGTCGCGTAGTGGTCAGCGTCAAGGGTTACCAATCCGCAGCAACAAGGTTCAAAACCGGGCAAGGTAAGGTGAAATATTAAGAATAATTCAATTCTCTGAGTTACATTCGAGATAACGATCTACGAAAGAGAAAGAAGAAAAGCGCCAGAGAAAAAAAGTACAGAATCATTTTTGAATTTGAAGGTTGCATTATAAAAATCTTATAAATATCTAGATGTCATCTAAAAGGCATCTAAACATAGACGTCTACTGACAGACGTCTAATGGAGACAATAGAGACAATCAAGACAGTCTAATAGACGTCTACCGAAGACCATCAAGAAACTATTCTATATTACTTTGCTTTGTCACAGGATATTTCGAAGGGTTGCTGAAGGATACGTACTTGATCATCCAGGACAGTCCAGGACCATATTTGTCAGTTTCACTGCATTTTATGTCGATTTAGTCTAAAATACTCTTGCATAATCTCGATCTCCCGCAATAGGCATTCCAGCTGATCAAGAATATGACGTTTACTCGTCTTTTTCACTTATTCTACTGAAAAACTACTGCCGAGTGTGTTGCTGGTCGGTTTCTCAATTATTAGTTTCATTTGATCCGAATTAGGTGCACGCATGCATATTTCAGATCAGGCAATAAATCACAAACCCTGTGGACTGTGGGCCAAAATCTTGATTGCTTCTAAAGTCGACTTCTGTCAGGCTAAAAGATGGCAAAATCGCCATCTTGATCCGCCATCTTGATCTAAAGCTGATCCTTGTCAGCCACTCTATGGTAGGGCGTCCCGTTTTTTTTTTTAGAAGTCCGAATATTTTTCCGCGCCTATGCTTTTTGGATTCTTTATCGAAAATAAAAGTTTACGTGTCCCGGCGATTATCTGATTTCTCAAAATTAATGGATGAGCAACGGCCTCAAAGTTTTGGGGTTGTAACGGGTCATTAGGCTCACAAAGAAACTTGGAAGCACAGTTCAGCAGTGAAATTGACAACATATTTGATATTTTAAAGAAAAACAAAGAAGGAACACTACCACTTAAACTTGCACAGGTTTTAGAAGGCGCCCGTTCAAATCCCGGAACATGTATCAAAGAAATTTGTGACAGTAACTCAGCAAGCACTAGTAAGCAACGCAACTCTACAAAATCACAGGAGTATCCTGTTCCTTGTTCAAGTTCAGCAGGCCCAATGACCCTTAGACCTAAGGGCCGTTCTTATCATACTTCGAAAAATTCTGCAAGTTCAAGCCTTTCCGGAGCAACCTCAGATTCTGATTACTGCCTCAAAAAGAAAAAAAAAAAAGGCTAAGCTAGCCCCGGCTAGCCCCTTTAGTACCAGCATTAGAAAGGACAAAAACAACTCAGAGAGGCGCTTCTCACATTCTAAGAACAACATTGGCTGCCATTAATGTGGAAAGTGGAACCAGGTCATCCAAAATTTACAGAATACGAGTAAAAACCCGTAGGAAAATTGCTCGGGAAATAAAGGCCGAGTTCGACCCTCCAGAACGCCTTACTGTTCACTTCGACTCAAAAAAAGTGAATGCACTTGCAGGTAAGTCGGATATTGAGAGGTTTCCCGTGGTGGTTTCTGGACCACTCTCCACAAATCAACTACTTGGTGCTCCAGCACCTAAATCAGTTACCAAGGAACAGCAAGCAACAGCTGTGAAGAAATTACTGGTGCAATGGAATATTGAATCAAAGGAAGAATTAAAATAAAATACTTGCAAAATTATTTACACAAATGATTTCATGTTTAAATAAATTTATTGAAATACAGGTGACGTGTGTTTCTGAAAAAAAAATTGTATACGGCACGTATATGGCGCCATGTATGTCCGGACGCGCTCAAACATATATTTGACATATAACTTGTGCATATATATCCCATATATTGCCATATACGGCCATATATTGGCCATAAACGCCACGCCATATATGTCTCATATATGGGCCGTGTGGTCAGTGCCATATATTTCCTTAAGTTCCTTAGTGACAAATGTTTGCGTACCTTGGTGGATGCATTTAGGGTGCAGTCAATGAAAGTACTTCGCTGGGGAACGTGAAGTAGCAACAAAAAGCTCAAGAGTAACAGTGTTCCCCAAGGAGGGCTATCGTGATTCGTTTTCACCAAATATGGGTAGTTGGAGTGAGAACTCCAATGACGTGCGGCGTCAAGCCCGTTCGGACTTAATTCAACACTTTACAAAAATTTCATCTCCGCTGCAAAGTACATGGTATATACCTCACACACAGACGGAAACGGCGCCTAGGTGTGATTAAACCGCGGTTTCTGATCAGCAGTGAGAATAAAATTCAATAACGATTATTCACGACACAGAATGGTGTCTGTTAAAATCCAAGTGTGCATAGCATCAGGGAGGTCATTCCAAAGAGGGTCACAGTTAAAATCGTGACCAAAACTGTCCTTGACGTAATTTTACGGTAGAAACGACTGTAAAATGTTCTTTTTATCTTAGAGAGCCATCTAGCGGCGAAAATCAGAACTATCTCAATCGATGTGTCGTTATCTTAATTACTGTGGCTTGAAGTTAAATCAGGCTAGAGCATTACGATCGGTCGACCAAATTTCGTGCTCATTGCGATATGTATTGAAAGTGATTTTTCGCGCGACAACGTCAACGGATATTTACCAATTTTAGACGTTATTGATATCTAACGTGATCTTCCCATATACGGCGAATTTCCGACATAGATGCGTGCTCCAAACCCATATATGATGACATATATGTTCACAAAATGGACCCATATACGGCAGACTACCCCCATATACGTCGAATTTCTCCCATATACAGTAAATGCAGCCCATATATGGTAGCATATATGTCCACATATATGGCACTGTATATGTAACATATACAGCATCTTCCGGTCATATACGGGACGTGTATGGGAATTATATGGCACATATACGTTTCGTTTTTCACGGGGAACTCTGTTAGCGGTTGGAAAAGAGGTGCTATTAGCCATTTAGAAGTCCAACTTGAGAAGGACCTACTTTATCTTGCATACCGAAGACATGTTTATGAGACACTGCTAGAAGGAGTTGCGTACACTGATTTAAAATCAATTTGATTTTGTTTTGATTTTTTTGATTTTTTAAAAAGCTCTAAAAGGTCATGAGTCTTGTGGAAGTTATGAAACAGATATACCTAGGACCTGGCAGGGGTCACATGAATAATTATAGCAAAAAGCATTTAACGTACATACTTGTTTCCAAGACCATTCAAAGTGATTCTGCAGTTTTCTGCTAAAATAAGTTGCATTAAGTTAACTTTGTGCTTATTTCTAGATACGTTCAGCAGGCCGAATCAATACTTGATCTTCTCGACAATGCTAGCACACACAACTTTACTGATGTCCGTGTGCCTCGCATTCAAAATAAAAGGTCCTGGGACACGGATTTCACACAGTTTTCAAATCCACCCAAATGAGCTCGCCCGGGCCCCTCGTTCCCCACCGTTTCTCCCTCCACCGTGGCTACAATGTCCAAACTCCTTTTGATGCTCTCTGAAGCGCTGCTTCCTTTTAATTACGAGTCGATTAATATTGGCAGTAAAGAAAGAGTAAAAGTCCTTTGATTCCTTTTTTATTTTATTTTTTATTATTTATTTATTCAAAGACGATAATACACTTGATAATATCAGAACTGTTATGATAACGGATGAGTGCATTCCAGTGCTGCCTGCAGCGGACGTGGGTACTTCAACATACGGTACTACACCAGAGTCGGCCATCTGTATCCAAAATGAGGATGAGTCCTTCAGGCTGCGAGTCAGATTCTTGTCGTCAAAATCGATATGGACAAGCCCGAACCGTCGGCTGTAATAATAGAGCAATAAAAATCACAAGTGGGTACTATACCTGCCGGTCAGTTGAGAGGGAGGGGAGGAAGAACACTGTTCAACTAAATTGTCATATGACAAGAAATATTGAGACGAATAGTTTGTCACAGGGACTGATATGAACCCACCGTCACATGGTGCCAAACAGTTCGTTACTTGTGACCAACCGATTGTCACTTGTGACGACGCATTCGTCAATCGAAATAGATGAAACACTCGTCACGTGACACACTTCGATATTTAACTTGCCAGGAGCCACCCTATGTAGTGGTTCAAATAACTACATCTCAAATCAAATCGCCATCCCTAGTAGCACAAAACTGTCGCACGACTGTCACACAACAGTAGAAAAAGTAATAGGCCTACGGATTATCGGTGCAATATACGAAATGAGAAACATGATTTTATCGCTACACTACATATTTTCCTCGAAACGAACATCTTTTTCGGCCAGCTATCGTACTGGAAGCGAAAAGGCCACTGGTGTGGACTCGACCAGAGATCGATATAAATGCAAGAGAAAGGTAGGTAGTTGAAATTTAATCGACCGGCGACAGTCGTCTGACTGCGGAAAATCAGTTTTGTTGCATTTTACGTTAGGAGTCATTTCACAATATGCCGAGAGGTCTACAGCTCGCCTCTTGTATTTATTATAAGGATTACAGAGCGATTGTAAGATTATAGAGTGATTTTATGATTATAGAGGGATAATACGATTAGAACAAGATTAGAGATAGATTATTCAGATAATAATGAATATGTAATGATTATAAGATGAGGAAGAGGTGGGGTGTAGCCACGGTGTCGACCCGTTACAGTCCTTTCTCATGTCCAAAGGAGCAAAGCTACAGGACCCCCCCCCCCCCGGAAGCCTAGTTTACTCAAATATGATGCAAAGTCTCCGACCAAACGCCACCGGCAGGCTTAGCTAGGCCCGGCCCCTGCCAAACGGAGTTGCCCGCGGAGCGAAGTGAAGCTGGCCGGAAGGGCGGGCCTAGTTTGTTTTAACCTAGAGTTATAAACTTCCTTCTGCCAAACGACTGCTTAGGTAGGCGAGCTGCGGAGATGGTTGCTACAACGCGTACAACCTTCAATCAAAATTTAAATTCATATTTACCCGGGGGGGGGGGCAATAACTCCCTTTTGATGTGCACACATGAATCCCGAAATACTTGATTCCTAGTGATTCCCGTCCGTTTTTATTATTGATTCCTTAAGTTTTCAAGTAGTAGGAAACCCTTATTTCCACTTATTTCGATTAATAATTTTTACCAGTTATTCCACTAGTTTCCCACTAAGCGTAAGCGATTTCTGTCGATTTCGACTATTTTTTTTTATCCTGATGATTCCCAGGCAGGTGTACACATGATTCCCGGAGTTGTTGCCCCCTCGTCTCGTATTTACCTGAATTCAGCTGTCCACTCAAAGTTGTCTATTAAGCTCCAGGCGCAGTACGCTATGACGTTAATTTTAAATTCCTTCATAGTTTTCACAAGAGTCCTTAGAAAAGCCTGTAAGAAAACATGTCCAAGGTGAGCATTGGAGAACAGAGGGGGCTTCAAACTAACACAGTGTGTTCTGTAACCACCCTTCTAAGTCAATAAGGAAAAGTCTCTTTAAAACTTTCTTCTCGCTCAAGCAAAGCGTCATAATGTTTCCTTTCTTCTCTCACATGTCGACACTTGAAACCTACAAGCACGGAGTTCGTGGAGTCTCCGTATAAACCCGTAGTTCCAGGCAGCTCCGTACAGACACGCAGTTCAGCGGGTCCCCGTATAACGTCGTAAGTGCTTGAAAGTCACTTCTGAGATATAGCGCTTCAAAGTTTTGGATTTACATTGCGCCTTATGGGCGGCTGGATTTTCAGACCAGAATTACTTTTGAACTAATTGACATATCGAAATGCGGTTTTCGCTGATCGATAGCCCTTGGTTTCCTCTATCCGACGCACTTCATAACTCGAAATTTTCAAAACACATAGTTACGACGCTATACGGCGGCCTGCTGAACTCCGTTTTTGTACCGAGCCCCCGGGAACTGCGTGTTTATACGGGGCCTCCACGAACTCCGTGTGAATAGATTTCAAGTGTCGATGTTTTACTCAGCTCAAACGTTTGCAGCAGAAACATACACATTTATACTAAGGGTCCGTGCGTGGTCAATGTGCACGGGATAGCTGAGCAAAGCAGGTTAAAGTTTGATAACGACAACAATTTTTTCTGTTTCTTTCTGGGGGAGATGTGAAAAGGTAACTAATGAGTCAGGTTCATCTTGCCGAAAGAAAACGAAAATGTTTGTTGCCCCAAGACGATCCGAATCGAAATGGCAGACTTATCCCCCCCCCCCCTTCCCCCAAATTGACACCTTGGTCTTTTTTTCGTACTTTTACCTTCTTGGGGTCATTTGACATTGTCATTTCGACTCTGATCGACTCCAAGTAGCTTATCAAACCTTTCTTTTCTCTTTACTTCTCTTGGTTTTAAGTAAGGGTCGACCCCTTCCGTCGGTGGGCCTGCTTGTTTTATTATACTTACACTGTAATAGGCCGCTCTCAGTCCGTCTGCTTTTCCAAGATGATAATCCCCGAGACCGTTCTCTGTTATAATGATGGGCAGCTTATAAGTGTTCCACGCCCAGAGAACAGCATCACGAATAGTTTCAGGGTAGATCTACGAAAAAGGGTATTTTGCAGTGCTGGCTGAGTCTTGTTTCATTTCTCCCGAAACGGTTACCTTTGCCATCTTTGACCTACCGTCGAGTAGAGTGCTTCTGAGGTTTGCTCAGTTTTAGTATCTGCGACGGACACAAATTTTAGTTGGTCCAGCAATCCTGCTAGCATTTGACTTGGTTTTATTGTGCTGTTGGCATCGGGGTCCTTCCACGATATGTCCGACATTGAAAAATAGACGTTAAAACCGAAGAAATCCGCGGTACCTGTAATCAAAAGTCAGAGGCAAGTCATGGCATTTGAAAACGATGACATTCAGTTTAAGAATGGGTGGTCGATACATGTTTTTTCTTAAAAAAGGCGGTGGCTCATGTTATAGGTCGTCAAGTCCTGCTCTCCTCCGCTTTACTGCTTCTCCCATCACAATGTAGATGAATGCCAGGCCACATCTCGTGACCCAAGCTTTGTGTTATCGTACGAAACGCTGTTTCGTTGTCAGGCGCCTGGAACACATCTACCTTGGCCTGCGACGCAGTAGTAGCGTGACAGATTTTCAACGTCGTCATTCTCTTCGCAGCCGTGGAGGTACTTCCTCGCAGAACTGCCCCAGGAACACAGCGATGCTACCCGATTAGGGAAGACAGGCGCCTATGCGAGATGTCACAAGTGTTTGTGATTCTGGGCATATCCGTTTGAAGCAGTTCCACGGTGCAGGAGGGGACAGGGCAACAGTTTGTGGTGGACTCGAAAGCCTCGCCATCCTGTCGTGTGACAGTGAAGTCTACGAGCGCATCGTAGCTTAGGCTTTCCTCAGCCCCCTCCACCGGGACGAACGCCAAGACGATGAGGGCGTTGTGGAAGTCAGTCGTCATCGCTTCGGCGTTGTGCCATTAAAATAAAATGGGCTGAGATTTTGAAAATCGGCAGATTGAGACGAGTTGCATCCGGGACTTGCCTTAAAATTTGGGCGTGTGGTACTTTGGGTGAGTTGGCAGAAGGGCAAGATGCCCGATATCAGATCAACAGACCACCGCAAACAACATCTTAGGCTTTTTAACGTCGGAATTTTGTGTATATGATTATCCAATGTTCTACGGCTCCCTAATTTCAAACCGGGAGGTATTCTAAGAAACCATTCGGTGAAAGCTGAAAAAAAGAATGCGGGTACTACAGTTCATTGTAGTTTTCGTTTGCTTGTTTCCCGAACTCTTTACTTCAGCTCCACCGAAATGGTTTATTCCATGAGAGAGGGCGGTTTGAGAGAGTTGCTGCCTGTTTCATTTTCCGGTTGGAGATGTTTTTAGCCCGCCCTTCTGCTTTGAAAATGCTATCCAGTGGGCTTATGCAAACGACCTAGTGTGTCTCTGCCTTTCTGTTCCACAAGAAGGAGATGTGCTAGAGACTTGAAATTTCAGGGTATCTTAAGGTTCACTCCTAGAGAACGAAATGCCTACGGCAAATCCTGGCAACCACCCCTAAGGGTGCCAATAGGGGTCTCCAGGGTTCAAATATTGGCCCAAAAAGTAATTTTTTTTTTTTTTTTATCTTCTCCTAAGGGGTTACTCGTCAAAGTAGAGCTCTTCGGGCGAAAATTTCATCCCCTTAACCGTTTAGGCCGGTTTAGGCGCGAGAGCTCTAGCTAGGGTCTTTTAGGACGAAAATAAGCTAAAAATTCCTATAGTGAACAATAAGTTGTAGAAGAAGGCCTAACAAGCAGGCCCGCCCTTCCGCGAAACAGAGTTGCCAGCTCCACTTCGCTCCGCTCGGCTGGCAACTCTGTTCGGCACACTGTAAAAAAAATTCTGAAAATTCAGTACATGTTTTTCAGAATCGGCACTCTGAATATTGTTTTCAGACTATTACTCGAAATTTTCTAAGTTTAGACTGAAAATCCAGACTCTTTACTCTGAATCAAGTTGCAGAGCAATTTGACTGAATATTTTAAAGTATATTTTCAGACTTTACACTGAATCTACAATTCAGAGTTACAGGTATGAATTTTGAGTGAAAAGTCCACCGGACAGGCGGACGAAGCACACCAGTAGCCGACGCTGCTCACCACGCAGGTAGCTGGCAGCCGAATGGTTAAGATTGCGGCCTCCGAATCTGAAGGTTGGTGGTTCGATCCCAACCAAGAGCAGTACCGAATGGACAGAAATGTCCTCACCTGGGCATAGCCTTCTACCCCCACAGCTGATAGGTCGCTCACCATGTATTCATTTTTAACATTTTCAAAAAAATATTTTCATACCAGCCGTCTGAATTTTCAGACTAAGTGGTATGGTAAGGCACTACTGAAATTTCAGACAGAGGTGCAGTCTGAATTTTCAGACTACTGGTCTGTAAAAAAACTTCAGACTAAAAGTACTGAAAATTCAGTAAAACTTTTTTTACAGTGCAGGGGCCGGACCTCCTTGGCCTGCCGCCTTGCCGCACGTTGGGACTTTGATACATCTAGCTGCCTTAATATTTATCAGACCCCTCTTTGGTCTAGAATTGTAGGGGAAGGTCTAGCGATAGCCGTGGTACCAAAAGTTGCGCCAAAAGTCTAGCCAGATTTGAACGGCTAGCGCTGGAATCCGCAGAGCGCCCCGGGACCCGGGCGCCGCGCCGATCAGCCAACGCCCAACGCCTTTTAGCACGGCAGACGGCGTTCCGCTACGCCACGCCACCTCAGCACGCATTTCCGCAGTTCATAAACATGTTCTGAGATGAACTCTGAGATGTGTCTAAGCACTAACCTGCGTATTCGTACATTGTTTAGGTCTGGTCTAGACCAGTTGAGACTCGCGCTGATGTGGCGTGGCGTGGGTTCACCGTTACATCCCTTTCTCGTCTGTGTGGGTCAATCTTTAAAGACAGAGAGTTTTAGCGGCCGAAGGCCCGCTACATCATTTGATTATGTTCTCGAGCAAATCGCGTGATGGAAATCTATCGCCGCCGACAGGCCAACCAAGCCCGGCCCCTGCCGAACGGAGTTGCCGGCAAAGCGGAGCTGGCAACTCCGTTTAGCACAAGGGCGGGCCTGCTTGTTCTATGACTTTGCTTGCAATGTGACATTGTAATATAGAATTTCACTTCGTGCAGACCAAACCGAAAGGGAAAAAGCATTGTTTCCTGATCTGTTTCCTACCTAACGCTCTGGCTGACACCGATCAAGTTGCCTTTGACCCATGTCTAGGGTAGTCGCGGGCCTGGTAGCGGGGCAAGACAGGCGGTTGAAATTAAGTGAAATGCCCTGTAGGATATTTCACGTAGTTCAAACCAGATTCAAAGCAGTTATCTTTCCCTACTGTTTCCTCACTGCCGCTCATCGACTGAAGAGGACGAAGTTCGCGGACCCGCTACCGGGCCAACGACTACCCTATTGACTCGTCCAAAGACATCGTCCTCGTCAGCCAATGAAAGCCAGGGAAGAAACCTCTAGATTCGGTTTAAACTAGGTGAAATGCTCTATTGACAAAGTGCATTGAGAGCAGGCCATGAGCTAGTCCGCCTTATTGCATGGGGTGTTTATATAGGGTATTTCACTACATAGGTGCCTGCTAGAAAACAACAAAGGAAACAAGACTGTTCTTCTCGGTTATTCTGTAAATCCAATTTAAATGATGTGTAATATACTAAAAAGCCAATAAATTGTTCGCATGGAACACAGATAAATTTGGTTTTCAGGATTTCGTAGTGTAACTCATAGTTCATGGAACAGTCCATGCAGATCAGTTCTTTTGCTACTTGCCATTAATCAGTCGTTTTTCTTCCTCGGAAAATGGTTGCAGCTTGCTTCCAAAGACATCTTTAACAGGCTGTGACAATGGAAACATTTGCATAAGCCAGGTAAAACAACACACAAGGCGAGGAGATTCAGGTAACTGCTGGAAATTGTCAAAGTCGGTCTTGGATCTTATGGAGAGCGCCAATGGCATCCAAGACCAGGTCCTGATATACAACAATGCTTGACCCAGAGGTACCCAGAGCTGGCGGGTGGTGTTCAATGGGGCTGGACCCCTGCGGGAGACTAGGACTAGCGGAAAGCAAGCGGCAGCTCCGCGCACGGTTATCGTTGTTATCAGCGTATTTTGACTTGTAGCGAGCGAGTTAAATAATTTATGGGCTCCTGCAAGCCTAACAAAAGAAGTGCGACAGAGCTGTAGATAGCAGACTATGTCTCATCGGTGTCACATGTCCCATCCTTGGCCCTTAATTTCCAGTCTTCTAGTGATTACACGTCTCTCCTAGTCCTTGTTCTCTGCAAATCTAACTGTACAACAATTTGAGAGTTTCAACTGCTTAACTAAAATATATACAGCTTAAACTGCAAAACTAAAAGTCTTACAGATGAAACTACAAAACTGAAAAGTTCTACTGTTTAAACTGCAAAACTGTGTACTTCAACAGTTTGAACTGTGCAGTTTAAACTGTTCGACTACACAGTTTTGCAGTTTAAACTGTAGAACTTTTTAGTTTCGCAGTTTAAACTGTAAGACTTATTTAATTATGGCGGTTTAAACTGTCAAGCTGCTATACATTTAGATTGGCAGAGTGTCCAAGTGTCCACAAGAAACAATGTCCTTCGTAGTTCCTCTTTGTCTAGTCTTCCCGAAAGATACAGATACAGCGTCAGCTCTACAAGGTCATGTGTCTTGTATAGTCCACGTTTCTTTAATACATAAATGATGTCTTTAAAATCTCGCCATGAACAGACTGGAAAAGACATATGCCTTTAGTGGAATAATGATGCTCTGTCTATCTTGCGGGATGACCCCACACCGAGGAACTAAAAACAGGCACAAGTGTTAAACGTCTTGTCTTGAACGACTGGACATATCCGGATTGGACAAAACATCTGTCCTGGAGTAAATAGAGCGACTGAACCTGTTTCGGATCAGATTTTTGTATTCCCGCCCTATACTAAAGCACACAGGGTTTAGAACAATCGCGTAGGAGGGCACCTAAAGCATAGATCTTCCATTACAAAAAGCAATTTTTTGGCGTCCGTACCTGCACTCGTTTCGGAGTTATGGCAGTTTGAGTATTGGCGTGATTTTGATCCGAAATAGGGACAGATGAACATATTTTGGATCAGCTTTGGATCAAGATGGCGATTTTGTCATCTTGTAGCCTGACAGAAGACGACTCTAGAAGCAATCAAGATTTTTTCCCACAGTCCACAGGGTCTGTGAATTATTGCCTGATCCGAAATAAGCATGCGTGCACCTAATTCGGATCAAATGAAACTAATAATTAAGAAACCGACCAGAAACACACTCGGCAGTAGTTTTTCAGTAGAATAAGTGAAAAAGACGAGTAAACGTCATATTCCTGATCAGCTGGGATGCCTATTGCGGGAGATCGAGGTTATGCAGGAGTATTTTAGACTAAATCGACATAAAATGAAGTGAAACTGACAAATATGGTCCTGGACTGTCCTGGATGATCAAGTACGTAACCTACAGCAACCCTTTGAAATATCCTGTGACAAAACAAAGTAATATAGAACAGTTTCGACCAGCATTAAATCGAAGCTGCTCGCAAAACTCGACTTAAGGAGTTGTGACTTTTAACCCGTTTCAACCTCTACCCGCGTTTTAACCTGACATGACATTAGATCGAATCCACGTTTGAAACGTGTTCTCTGGACCTTCAACTTAATATTGATGCCTGGGTTGACGCGAAATTATGCGTACATACCAAGTAATGTCCATTAGATTGAACCACAACATTCTCACACCTCCTAAACAATGAATGCTCATGTTCAATTCGGCCGCGCGAGCCGCTTGGGTGGATGAATCGATGGTAATTTCTGGTAGAAAACGACCAACCTTTTCACCTAAAAAATTAAAACCCATCTCTAAGAGAAAATAGACATCTATTAGATGTTTAATAGACATCTACTGCTAGACGGCAAGTTGTCTAATAGACGTCTTCGGTAGACGTCTTGATTGTCTCTATGGAGGCATCTATTAGACGTCTGTCAGTAGACGTCTATATTTAGATGCCTTTTAGATGACATCTACATATTTATAAGATTTTCATAATGCAACATTCAATTTCAAAAATGATTCTGTACTTTTTTCCCCTGGCGCCTTTCTTCTCTCTCTTTGGTAGATTGTTATCTCGAATGTAACTCAGAGAATTGATTAATTCTTACTATTTCACCTTACCTTACCCGGTTTCGAAACTCGTTGCTGCGGATTGGTAACCCTTGACGCGGACCAGTACGCCACGAGTTGCCTCCTACGTGAGGTCAGTCCGGTTCCGGTAGCATTCGTCTGACCAGGCTCGGGACCCTTTCCCTCTGATTTCGAGTGGCCAAGAGACCTACCGTTGATATAACGTTTAAGGTCTGCAGGTGTTTTTCACAAGCGAGCACTTGAGTACAAATTATCTCAAGGTTATCAAAAATTTCATAACCTGCTGCGTTAAAAATCCTAAAGCTTGAAGGTCTAGGGTCATAGATGGGTTAGATTGGAGTTAGATCGTCTCGGCACGTCTAAACGTTGTCTATCGCTAGACGTCTAAGGTTGTAGATGGGATGGATTAGAGTTAGATCATCTTGACACGTCTACACTGTGTCTAGTGGTATACGTCTAAGGTCGTAGATGGAGAAGATAGAAAATGAATCATCTTGACACGTCTACACTTTGTCGAGCGCTAGACGTCTAAGTACACAGACAAGTTAGACAAGAAATAGATCGTATCGGGTCGTCTGTTTCTCGACGAAACCTAGTCGTAGATGTTGAAAGATGTCTACTAGACCTCTTTTAGTCATCTACGTCTAGTCGTCTAAAAACTTTGACCAGCTAGACGGGCATTAGAGGATCTATCGAAATCTATTGACATCTGTTTTCTCTTAGGAATACATTTGGGTGAGGGAGCGTGAGTAGGTATTATTGATCCGAATTAGGGGTGATCCAAAATTGGTTCAGTCGCTCTGAAACAAACCTGGACAAAACGGCACAAACCAAATACATTCTCTACAGGAGTCTGAGTCAAGACATGCCAAAGTAAGAGCAGCGAGTCATTCTACTGACTAGGTAAGGACTAGACTGTATAAATACATAACATGTAAGTCCATCGAGACATATAGTAGACATATGCAAACGACATGAAGACATAAAAATGACATTCAAAAGAGCAATATCAGTCAAGGTATTTCGAAGACTTCATCAACCGACATCAGGACATCATGTGCCATTAAAAGGAGGTGAAACACGAAAGACAATGATATCATAAAGACTGAATTCATACATCAAATTATGTCCATCATATGTCGATCGCTTCACCAGGGTATTAAGAGTGAGGTCTACTAGACCTTGCAGAAAGCAGACGCAAGGACGACTCCTTTCTGTGTGAGGTTTTTCAATACCTGTGGATAGTCTCCGAAGCGAACGGGGTGAAGAACAGTCCCAGCTTGAGCAAGGTTGTATACGTCCGCTGCATAGACATCCTCTGGGCTGTTGGACGCTGGCCGGCCATGGACTAGTGTAGCCGTGAAGCCGAGCATACCTTGAGAAAAAAACCAAACCATCAGTCCATGGTGGAGTTAAAACTGGAGTCTTCAGCGTGTTGCACACTACCTAACGATCAACATGAGTTAACTTGTGATAACGGTCCGGCTTAACGGCAAGAAAATGAAAAGCAAGTAAAACACTAGTAAAGTTTATTTAACTTTTGCCATTTTTAGAGAGAACCCCTTCATTCGTTTGAGCAGACGTTTACGTAAATTCCAAGAATAGGCCTTGGAATATAATTTTGTTCAGTGCACAGTAAACAAAGGGGCAATGTTATGCCAGAATTACGCAAAAATACGTTCATGTGGTTGTGATTTACGATGGCTCCTAGAAATAAAGGCCGAATTCCCAGAGGTCTAAAACGAAGAGGCCGATGTCGCGATGCTTTGAGCCCCGTGCCGTTTGAACATCGGACCTTTTGTTTTCAGTGAACTGCGGGCGAATCCTTAGGAATACGTCGAAAGTACTTAACACATAAATGGAAAACGAATTGCCAATCTAAATTTTAGCTTTGTTTTTTTTTTTTAAGTCCGGATTCAGTCCATTATGAAATTCTCGTCTCAAAAGCCGTGAATATCCAAACAAAAACGAAATAGAATTTGAAAGTTCCTAGGTCTTTTAGAAGCAGCAAACATAGCTGGTTCGAAATACTTAAACGAAAAAAAATCTTGCCTTTGGTAATGAATCCACTACTGCAATATCTTCACTAACTGAAGTCATTCGTTTAATCGAAGAATTGTATATGTGCCTGGAGTAAATCGCTTGTCCCCATTGCAAAGCACGCACGGCGTTCCGGCGCTTGCGAAACAACGCAACTCCACACAGCGGTCCGGCGCTGGCGAAACCACGTACAGCTCTTAGGCGCTGGCGAAACCACGCAGTTTGATTTTTTAGAATTATACCGTTGGAAAGGGGTCGTTTCTCTCTTACAGAATATAGTTATCTCAATTTTTTAAACGAACCAGTTTCTACCACACGGGCCGCGCGCGGGGGGCCAGAGCGTCAGGTCGCCGCGACCACCTGTTGCATCTCAATTCCACATTACTTCAGTACCGCCAACAATAAGCACTGTGCGACGTCTTACGTTACGTCTCACGTTACGTCTTACGTTACGTCTTACGTTACGTCTTACGTTACGTCTTACGTTACGTCTTACGTTACGTCTTACGTTACGTCT